ATAAAAGCTCATTCGTTGTATGAAGCCATATTGATGTTTAGCATATCAATATCATTTTTTTCATCGGCATTTGCAGAACAATTTCTAGGATGGAAGACGTTAACTGGAATGTTAATTCGCATCTACATGGCTGCAGCTGTGCTCATAGTGGCTGTAGATACGGCATTTGTATTTTATAAGACTAAAGATATACGAATAGAAATAACAAGTAACGACAAACAAGTAAAAACTCAAGAACTAAATATACAAGTTTGTTCAGAGTTACATGTTAGATAACATGTAAGAAATAGTTTATTTCATAACATTTTTCTACATTTATATTTCATAACGAAATACGATGGATATAGATATAGTAATTCATTCTATCTCGATTCCCACTCGCATTCTGACTAAACAATGAGGGCAAAACAGCAAGGACTTCAGTCTTAAAGTCTCATGAAGTTTTGTGGATGTGGGTGTGAGTGCGAGTGTAGGTGTTGATGTATAGAAAGCTATCACGACCGGTTTCGACTTAGCTGTGAGTCTCATCAGGTGGCTTTAGTAGCCCCTAAGTCGATTAAAATCAAATAGAGGGAAGAATATTTATGTTCAAAGTGGATGAAAAGTTTGTGGATGAAGAAGCAGAAGTTGAACGAACATGGCAATATTTGAAATGATATGTATAAATTCCGCTTTTTTTGTTGATGGTTAGATTTCTTGTTCGTTGAGAATGAAGATGGAAAGCATCTGATAGTATTGAGCTCTACGTTTTTCTTAATGAACCTTTTTTCGTGCCATGTGAAAAATCGTGTGAACATTTTGGAATGCTGCATGAGCTTTTTTTGAGAGATCTCAACGAACGTAGGATTTGTTGTACTTTGTACTTTCGTGGGTGCGGGTGGGTGTGGATGTGGATGTTGTTGTGGGTGTGCGTGTGTGGGTGTGGGTAGCTGTGGGTATGTGAGTGAAGTGAAGATGCAGACCCACACCCACAACCACACCTTCTTCCTGTAGAAGATTAAGGCACTTAAACTTGACAACTATGATGGTTGTGAAATAGATTACAGAAACCTACATAAGTCTGCCGAGGTTGAATCTGACGACGGTGTTGAAACCAACTGTGACGACGTCGTTTTACTAAGAAACCACAACCAAGTAACATTGTTTTATCACCAAACGAATTCAATTGTAGTTTTATTCGAAATCACAAATAAGGCATCGATATTAATTGGAATATTATCAGAAGTATGTCATTACGACTTGAAAATTATGATTTTCCACTGTCTCTCTCTCACTCATTCTTTCTTCGGTCAGACATGAAAACTACATGCGCAAAAAAGAAAAAAAACTCTTTGTCTTATGCGTACATTGTTTCTGTATAATTATTGTTTCATACAAGGTTTCTTGTTTTAATATTCATATCGTAAAACAATCACAATCCGTTTTTGTGCTTTGAAAATTCTATTACCTAGCAATCCTCATGTTCCGTCATTCAATGTAACTAAAGAAGAGAGACAACAATTGAATTAATACTTCAATAGATCGTTCATAATAGTTAAAAGTAGTTGAGTAATCTAATAAAAAGAACGTCAAGACCGCTTTTGCCAGACAAATCAAAATCAAAATTAGGTTTTTCTACTATATTCAAAAAAAAATCTATGGTTATGTTTTTGTCATTAATACTAGAGCAAGAAAAAACAAAATAAATTAAGATTTGAGCATTATAAACGACAGTTACTATTGGCCACATAATGTGATGCTAATAATAAAATGACATGTGGCATCTATGCAGCTAGGGGTGTCAATTTATATTTTTTTTAATTTAATTTACTCGTAAATTAACTTATCAGTAATTTGTATTTAAAATAAATATAAATATTTTTTTTCACAATTTATATTTATTATTAAATATAAATTGTCATAAGTTATATTTATTGTAAATATAACTTATTAGAAATTTAATTTATTTTTAAATATAAATTATGACAAAAAAATATTTATATTTATTTTAAATTAACAGGAAAATGACACCCCTAACCACATCCCACCCCCGTAGTAAGTCCGAAACAAAGTCTTTATTCAACAAGTATCTAACATCCTCTAAAAATTATAGCAAACTTAATTGAAGTAAAATAAATTTTTAGTAAGATCTTATAAAACAATGTTTTAAATGTATGCTCTCAATATAGTCCAGTTTTCTAAAATTCAACTCTAAATTTCAATTGTTTTACGAAAACCTAATGAAATTATCACATTCAAATCCAATGAAATTCTGAAACTTATAAGTTACTTAAAATTTATTTTGTTGATGCTCGAATATGAGAAATAGTCAAATTCTTATGTCTTTCAAAACATGTTCTATAAGTGCGATATTACTTGATTATATCTTGGACAATACTCACACAACTTTCTGTGGTTAAAAAAGACGCGTATTCACGATCAAAGCTGTCTTTATTTAGTGATGCTAGTTTATTGTGATACTCAAGCTTGTTCTGTTCAATCGAATATTGAAATTGAATAGACATATATAGATGGAGACTGATGTTCTTCTCTACGATCGATTTTAGAATACATGAAGTTTTGTTAGAAGAATTTTAGATTTAATTGTTTTTTCGTTGATAGTTTGGCGTTCGCATTTTCGATGCTTTTTGTTAATTTATCTTTGTATTTCAGTACTTGCTATAGAGTTTCCGTGAGTGTTTATATCGAAATAGATCTTGTGACAAAATTAGTTCGCAATTTTTTATTTGAAAGCATCAATTATTTTTCAAATTTCGTCAACAAAACATTCATTCCTGAACATTAGACTGAAGTTGCATTTTTTTTCAAAAGAAAGGTCAGTATATTAACTGGTCAATTCATCCTGATTGCATAATTAAGAACTTTAAGTTGACCAACAATAAGACGGATTGAAACTTACTTATTTTTACTATATATTCTCGTCTACTTTCTGAACTACATATTCACGAAATCATTTTACACAATCGTAGAGAACATTAATTGTAATTACGAATGTAACATTACAAATTAAATTTGAAAATATGTCTAAGTTTTAGTGCAACTTAAAATTGACAATAGAATTGTTCTCCCAACAGTCACGAATGTAATTATGTTCTTTGAATTTCAGCATAAACCATACTTTTTTGCTTGCTCATCAAATACTCTAAGAAGACCTTGAATTATTTGTTCTTTGTTATCGAAATGTAACTCAAGTTATTCAATTTGATTTTCATTGTGTACAAAAGTTGTAGACTCAATAACAGAAATAGCGATTCTTCGTTCTAATGCTTCAAAGTAAATAAGCTGAAACCACTTATTATTTTTGGTAAAGAACCAAGCTAAAATGAGTTCGCTCAAAGAAAATGGAGCTAAAAACCAACCGAGACATCCAACTTTCCTAGTCGACTCTCCCTAATAAAATCCCCGGGGAGTCGCCTGAAAAACGCGGAACCCCCGGGAACTCCATGTCGGGAATTCCCTGGGAGTTGCGTGCTGTAAGGGACTCCCTAAAAGTCCCCGGAGAGTCCCCCCCTTTTTAGAAAATTTCGATCAAATTTTTAGGGTTTAAATGTTGCAGGAGACTCATTAGTAACTTTTTGAAGAGTTTCTGCTAATGGTTATGAGCTCCCCAAAAATTTCTCGGGGATTCCGTAGGGAGTCCCTGAAATTTTCCTAAATTCTCCATCAAATTCCCGGGGACTTTATTGGGGAAAGTTGACTAGGCTTGATAACAAAAACTTCATTCTGCATTAAATTTTAGTAGCATAGTCAAATTGATATTATAATCTGCAATATTGATTTGTAGACCATTCGAAATCGCACTGATATAGTCTTTTTTCAAGAGAAATTTACGTGGATAATTGAATTCTGTTGATGTCTGTATTATTTCATTAAACGTCTCCGTTTCGTTGATTGATTTATATTTAGATGCTCGATCTTTTGACACGAATTGAATTTTATCTTTGGTGCTGGGTATAAATATTAATCGATTTAATTTACGCAGAGGTTCGACTGCATCAGCAGTAGTAAATTCATTAAAGATGATGATGACCACCAATGCATTGATCACTGAAGTTGCTGCTGTTGTGGGACTTAAACTATCAATACTTTCAATTGTTTGTTTTTGAAGAGAGTAATGGTGAAGCATATTAATCCTCGAACGGTGTCCTCATTTTGTAACACAAAGGGTGCTTGTGGGTCCGGTCGGACCCACATAATAATTAGTAAAAAAACTTGAATTTTTGTCTGTTCTATGCTAACCATAGGCGAGTGGAGATCTCTATCATGATTTTCTTTAGGGATTGATACGCTAGTATAAGTCCAAATGTATGAAACGTTCGTATTTCAAGGGATATTTTTTAAGTGACTGTGATAGCATTACAAAGTTAAAATAGCACTAAAAAAGTATAGATATAACTACAGAATAAGCTAATAAATGTTTTTACCTTTATTGATATGTATAACCAAACATATTAAAAGCTAGAGAAATTTTTTTCTTGTTTATTTTTCTGTTTCATAATGAATAAAACACAATAAAATCAATAAAACGGTTAAACTACTCTAGTTCTTCTTGTGTAAATTTCTTTTCTGTGTGTATCAGGTGTTATATTGTTGAATCATGTTCTTCGCATAATTGACAAGTGATTGTGGTGTTACTGATAGAATGAGATTTGCAAACATTCTTGTGACATATGTCACAAACTTGTCGGATCTTGCGTCCAGGATGTGTTGAGCAAAGATAGCATCTTTTTTTTATTTCTACAGGATCACTACTTTGATCTTGAGGTGTAAAAATGTTTGACTTCAGTTCATATTCAAGAAATTTTAATGCGAGCTTTGTCTGTAATGTTAAGCGAGAACATTTTGAATGATGTTCATTATGAGAATTAGTTAATGATTTACTCAGTTGTTGTAAGAAAAGACGTCGAATGTATTTTTGTCGACTGCTCCAATTTGTATTTTGACATAACCATATTGTGTGTAGAATTATTAATACATTGATCTATAATATTCACGCCAAACTAGGTTTGATTATAATCATGAATCATAGTTGGAAGCTTTTTGTCATCATCAAATATTTCCGGCAACTCATGTGATGTTGATAGTAAAATAATAGGTAGTTTCTTTTTTTTTGCTTGGTAAGATAATATTACATTTGAACCATTAAAATAAAACCATGATGAGTACAGGTCACTTCGGACAACTTTTAATTCAATCGGAACAAAAGATCGTTTATGATCAACAACACCAAGTGAAGTCATTTTGCATTCTAATAAAGCTTGAGTCAAGTTGAAATCTGTGAAATAACGGTCATAAGTGACATTGCGACCTTGTTGTATATTACTAGGCAATTGATCAATCAGACGTAAAACTACATTTGTAGAAAGATTTCGTTGAACAACATTTTCTATTTTTCCCGTGTATAATTCTAATGCAAGAACATATCGAGTATCAAAATCACATAATAACCAAAATTTAATGCCATACTTTGCTGGTTTTTTGGGCATATATTGGGATTCCCGAATTTCGTCAACAAGACTTTCGCCAGTTGGCGAGAGTCTGACGTGCATTCAACAGTGTAACATGTAGATCAGAAAATATTCGTCTATATTGTAGTCATATATTTCGTTTGAAGGAATGCCCGTCACTTCTCGTGCTGCTGCATTACGATCTCAGGCCAATGAAACCGCGACACTACTAGCTAATGAAACAATATCAAAAGGGGTGACTCATCAAAGAGGGTGAGGGTTTGCGGTGTGGGTGCATTATCTTCACTAAGACTCACACCCACATCCATACCCCCATCCACAGATACCCACACCCCACTTCCACACACCCCTCACTCACATCCATCCACACCCACACACCCACACGCGTCTTTGTCTGATACAATTGCTTCTCTTGTTCATCTTGTTGGTGAACTTGTTTGTCGTGCAAGAAAAAGAAAAAAAAAGAGGAATAATGTTTCTCAATCAAACGTATCAGATTAGCTCTGAAGTTTATGATTGAAGCAAAATTAAGCTTTTCTTAATACTTTTTTTGTTATTATTCATGTTATTCTGGCTTTTTCTTACTAAAAAGAAGTTCGATCATATTCCAATAGATTCTAATAGACAGCACCAATATATATATTGATACCCGTCCTCCTCGCTCATATCCAACATTTATAGTCTTCTGTGACAAATGGCAAAAGTCCACTATACTTTCGCCAATATAACCCTGTGACCTTCGTCAATGCACCACTGGCCTTTCGCCATTGGCGAAATTCGGGTAAGCCCATATATTGAACAAATGAGCATCTGTCACGAAATGGAACTAATTGCTCATCAACTGTTACATTCTCACTTGGCATAAAGTGTCGGGGCAACTGCTTGATAAAACATTGCAATACATATTTGATTGATGCTAGACGATTGAGGTTATCGCGACCTTAACGATCATCAAATCGAAGAAATCGTAAAAGTTGTTTGAATCGTTGTAATAACATCGTTGCATGATATAATGGGTGGCTTCGACTAATATCCCATAATTCAGTAAGTGATTCATGATTCACATGACCAACACCAGCTTGAATTAATTATCCTAGGAATGCCTCTAGCTCAATGCAATCAAGCTTTTCCCATTTATTCGACTTTGTCAGATTATTTCCAGCATTTAATCGCTTTTGATTTTATTGATCAAAGTGTCTACTAGCATATTTATTTGTTCGTAAAACAATTTCATTTAGAATTTCATTTGTGATAAATAGTTTGAATGTCTCTATTATTGTTTGTACTGCAGTTACGGAACTGGGTTTTTTCTTCATAACATTGGTCGCACGTAAACGGCCAGGAGCTGTACTTTTTTGTGTTGACCACAAAAGACCATCTTTTTCTATTGTTTCAGGCTGAGCATTTATATCTAAATGGATAATGTCATCACTGACATTCGGATCACATGACTCATCTTCTTTGGAAATACATTCATCAGTGGATGTGTCATGAGATTCAGATTCAGTTTCAGAAAGATAATCTGAATCAGAATTCGATTCATCATCCTCAAAAATGTTGGTGTCAAATTCATCAATAGTATTTGTAGTAATAATCTCTCGAATTCTTTTTAGATTTGTTTTAGTGGTCATTTCTTATCTGAAAAATCCGGAAAGTATTCAACTTATTATGTTTAGAGAACTTTATAGTTATCAAGTTTGGTTTATTTTTAAGGAAGAGAAACGGAGGATAGTTGTTATTGTCAGAAGCGACGGCGGACATAGTTCCGTCAAAATCTAGCACAATCTGTCAAATAAAGATACAAAAATATACGAATCACTATTGGTAATCACAAATTAACGAATCTTCTGATAAATAACTATTCAACACGACAGATGGTAGGTCTTATAAGATTAAAGTTCATTCTTATAACACGAAGAGTGTCAGGGGGTCCATGCGGACCCACTCTTCAGTTTTTTTCCTGTAAGACCTATTCATAAAACTTGATATAGCTTCTATGCACCATTAAAAGATCAACGATTAGAATACAGATCGAATAGAAAAGGATAAGTATTAACGTAGCAAAAGTCGAAAAACAGCGTTGTGGGTCCGGTTGGACCCACAGACGATGTTCGAGGGTTAATAGAATCACTGTGTATTTTACCCATGAACGTTTACTCACAACTGATAAAAATTTCCGATACTAATGGAGAAGTCTCTCGCCATAGTTTACAATCTCTATCGAAATTTTCAAAATGAAACATCGCTCAATTTGGAAAACAAGATCAGTCAGTTGGGAGCGTAGCGGTCAGGAAAGCAGCGACTAGCTGTGAGTGGCGCCCACGAACAACTAGCCGATGCTATGGTACGTTTCCATCGGCAACATTTTTTAAGATACTTTTGAAGCATCAACAAGCGTTTTTCATAATGTACTACTAAGATTCAAACCGAGCTCGGACAGATTTAAGCCTTCAGCGTCAGATTCGAGTGGAAAGCCAAACACTTTCAATTGAAGCCTACGAGTTTTCGGTAGATTTAGACGGAATCCATTGCTCTGTCTGCCCTGGAGTAGATAATAGCGCGAAGCTCGCTATAAAAAAAAACATGAAAATCAAGATCAAAGAAATATTCTAGAAGAAAGTCTACCGTCTGGAATCTTCTTTGGCGATTCGTTTAGTTATCAATATCATTTTTTCCGAAAAGAGCTAAACCTAAATCAGTCAGTTGATTAATGACGGCAGATAATCCTCTGTAAGACTACTGTTAAGCATGTGAACAGTTAACTGCGAATGGCGCCAATGAACCACTACTCGCTCACCATAGAGCTTCTTGAAAGATGCTGTTCAGACATCTGGTATCCAGAGAAAAAATCTCTACTGATCGAATGCGATCGATTTTAAAAAAGTTCGTATTCTAGTAAAACTCGTAAATTATTTCTCAGACAAAGTCTGCGAAACGATTTTTCTTCAAAAATACAACGTTTCCAGAATAATTCGAATGCAAACAGTCTCTTCAGAATTCTATAAAGAAGAGATATTTATCTAGATGACAATAGCACATGTATTTCAGGAAGGGGTTAGGGTAAGGATGATTATTGTGAAAAAACATGATGCGTTATACGAGTTTCAAGGAAACTCATTCATTTTTCGGACACTAAATCGATTTCCGGTGTTAGCGTTCGCGCTCACAAAGAGCGACGAACACAGTTAACGTGTGTGTGTGGTTTATTCTCTCTGTTTATTCTTTTACAAAACAAGAGTTTATATACGCACATGAAAAACATGGACAAAATAGAAAAGAAGACAAAGGTTAATCAAGGGCAAAGAAAAGAAGTTAAAGAAAGGAAAAGACAGAAACGAAAATATCAAAGAGAAGAGAATAGAGAGGATCGAGGTATATGTTATGAGAATACACTGTAACATCCGGAAACCCAATCTGCTTTCCAGAAACTCGATCTGCTTTCTGGAAGCTGGATTCAATTTCTGGAATATGCACACAATTTCCATAGAATGTGACCATGGACATGAAGGCCATTATGGACGTAGTGCACACTGACCATGAGATGCCTTTCATGACGTTCTTGGAAAACTAATACCGCCTACTTCTAACACAGACAGGAAATATAGAATATATTGGAGATATACGAACGATAAAAAAAATTGCGTACGTAGCAATTCGACAAAATAGCACCAAGATGATTCTATTGAGATCAAAAAGAAAAATGTCTCTAAGCCAGGTACTATTGAATTTATTTTAATAATTTACCTTTTTCAATTTCTCAATCAAAGCTACTCCTCCACTCCCGAAGGTGTGGGTGTGGGTCAAGAGTGAGACGAGTACCATCACCCACACCCTATTAGTGAAACAATGACAATCACATGATCCTTTGATGTCAAGACTGAAATTGGAATTTGCAAGGATTGGCAATGTATTGCCCCAATAAAAATCAGACTATTATGTTATGCTCTGTGAATGTTTTTTGCTTTTTTTGTTTTGGAATGTTTGTTGAAGAAAAACAACAATCTGAAGAATCCTTGATACGATAATGTCAGCAAGCCGATTTGGTGGACGTTTTAATTAATGCAGCAAATCATTATTATGGTGAAATCAAAGTTAAAATGAATATTATAAATCGGAAAAGAAATCGGTGCGATTTAAAATGGTTTCTATTCGCTGTGATTATTTTCATAACAGTAGATGTTTTTTCTTTTTATTAAAGAAAACAACATAAAAAAAATATTCATGTTACAATCAGATGTCGCTCGCAATAAAAATAGTTTTAACATGTTTCTGATTGGACATTTGCATAGACGAATAATAAAGTGCATCGAGAAAAACGACGCAAGGGACCTTCTAGGTGAACTCGTTTTTAAAAAATATTAGATTTCGTAAAATGATTAAATGGTGATTTAAGAATGGATCATTCTGAGTCTTTCTTATTTTCATTTGATATTCCATCACCTTTATCTTCATCCATTCAACCAACAAAATGATGATATTAGTGAAGCATCTAATTGCGTTGAAAAATACACAACAGAAAGTGTTACAATTTGTTTTAAATATAAAAGAAATCAGTGCACAATGGCATACGTAGTAGTAAAATCAATTCGTTCATCACATATGTTTGTGACATAAAGGAAGCTTAATATAGTTGACATGCTTTGAAAACAATTTCTATTAGTGAAAAGAATTCAAGAGCACCATGCTGATCTATGTTTTGGTGGTCTGCTAAAACAGTGGGGCACAGCAAATATGAAATAATTAAAATTTGCATCCTGTAAATGTTGTTATCTAACGTATTCGTATTCATCAGCAACAACAACCTTATTAAACCACCAATGTCTAATGATACTAAATAAAATTCAACTTACATTACAACTTTTACCGGTATTTAGGTCCACATTGTGTGTATTCTCATTTAATAAATGAAATTCATTTACTACAGATAGTAGTAAAGATGATAGAAAACAACAACGTCTATTTGCTACTTCGATGAGTGATTGGTTATGTTCGAACATCTAGCCAATCAACATAGTTGAAGATATTGATTTAAAAAATCTGATGGATCAATGTATTTAAGCAAGTACAGTTTTTAATTTTTCTGACTGTTTTTCTTGTATTTCTTTTGTAGATTATATCTACAGCCCAGTTTCTGCATCATCTCTTTTGCTCTCTCAACCAACGGTAAATAAAGATATAAAAAAGATGACGACTATTGACAGGAGTGAAATCAAAGTTATTCTTATAGCAGCAGCTCGAGAATGACGGTGATCTTTATCTTCTGGCCTATGCTCTGATGGTTATAAGCAAACAGAAAACCTAGTAAAACTGCGGCAAATCCAATTCAAGTGTGTTTTTCATTTACTATATATAAAAATTTGATTTTCATATAACAATGTAGGCAAATGAAGAAGAATTGTCCCTCTATGATTTGCGACCATTTGTATTTGATATATATCGGGTATGTGATAGAGGAAGTAATCTGAAGCAAACATTGGAAAAAACATCCTATAAAGCCAAAATAAATAAGGTAAGAAAAGATGCATCAGCTGATGATTATCATATTGATTCAACTGAAGACGAAGAGAATCAAATTAATGGAATTATCTGCGAAAAAGGTGACAGCTATTGTGATGATGAAAAATTACTTGATAAAAGAATCATATCGATTAGTTATATCTCTGCAATATCAAATCGAAACTATGCTTCCATTATTCTTGCTCAATTACCGTCAGATGTAAAACTTGTTTTAGTAACTATTAACCACTGCAAAGAGCTGATGAAGTATTAAAAAAAAGGTAAATTCCATATCAAGACCCTTCTATTAACAGCTTAGACATATGAAAAATCTGAACGCTCGAAAAACATTTCAACTAGATAGAATCTTTTAAGTGTACTAGAGTTTTCGACTAGAATTTTTTTCTCTGAAATCTTTGGGCACAAAATTTTTAATTCGTACGTCTAGATCCTTTCAAAGTGTTCCTAAAATAAGGGGTTAATTTAAAGTCAGAACTTGAAAATCGAGGGACTACTGTTCCGGTCTAGAGCATAATTGTGCGATGGCTTTCTTTAAATAACTGTTTGGAAAGTGCCAGAAAATCTCTAAATCAAATGCTCAAGATTTTGATGAAAACAATTTGAGTAAGAAAAGTATTTCTATAATTAGTGTATCTCTATTGGATAAAATAATTGATTTTTTAAGACCACGGATTTATGCAATGAAACCTATTCCATCATCGCAAGTGCCATCAATCCGTACGGTAACATCAAGTATATTTGTGATAAATTCCTCGTTACAAACAAAATCAAGTGATTATAAACAAGAAAGAGGTCAATGGTTTCAGTTTTCTTTATCTACTTTCCTTAAGTAATTTTTTTTGCAGGTATCGGTGTTTTCGTCAACGGACAAAACAAGTGATCAAAGAAATTATTCATTTCGAACCCGTGCATCTCATGTAAACTTTCTTCAACTCCAAAACACAAAAAATAAAACACCTGTCAACCAAACAAAGAGAAGAATATATTGAATGTGTAAAACAAGAAATGTTTCTGTTTTATGCTGACCTGTATGTTAACTCATCTTCAGACAAGAGATCAGTTTCATTATCAACGAGTATCTCATCTGCATATATGACAGATTTTTGTTTGAATGTAGAAATTGATTAACAAAGATTATGCTGATCAACATAGTTCGCCACAAGCTTCATCGCATATAATCGAATTTTGACTTGTATTTAAAGCATGGTGTAGATACAACGACATCAGTTACGAATTCTGGTTAAAAGGATGAAGAATATAATCCGTTATCATTTTAGAAAAAGAAACATGCTTGTTATCCTATTTTGATGAAGGTTACTGCTCGTGTTTTAGTTGTACCAGCCACCAGCGCAGCTTTTGAAAGCGGGTTAAGCTTTACTGATAATATTATTATACAAAAGCGCTAAAAATTATCACCAGATACAGTGAATGATACACTTTCCAATCATTCATACAATAACTTGTGAAGAGCTATAATACATTTGAATTTTATTAGGTTCGGTCCAGTTCAAGGAAAACACGAACCGATTCTATCACTGCTACATGTGCATATCGTCAATGTCTTGTTTTAGTGAACGATTTAGTAAGTCTTAGAGGGTGTATTTCTTTTTTTGATCAACCAATAATTTTTTGAAATATTGCTGAGTTTGAAGATAAGGTTAAAAAAAGCTGGCACAATCTCAACACCACATATATATCTCTTTTTTTCTATGAATAGCTGATTCGTGAAATCAATCTTCATTGTGAACCATTTAGTGGATATATTATTCAAGTATTAAAATCTAGTTTTTCAAAATTAGTAAGATTTTATAGTCGTTGTAGAAAAGTAAATATTACTGAAGATAATACATCTTATTAGTTTCTGTATAGTATTCTCCTTATTTTAGAAAAGCAACCATTTTTTATAGCAGAGCATTTGATTATGAAACGTTACAAACATTCCACAGAGCTATGATTAAATCATGTGAGTAATATATTAACTATTTTTAAATTATTCTGTAATTTTCATCGTTCAATTTTGCCATTGTTTATTGTAGGAAACAATTGGTCCTTCTCCAATGATGCAATAAACATATTACAATAAATTTGAAAGCTGAAGTTATGAATGTTTTAATTGGATCATACGTATGAAATATGTAATATAAAATATCCAGCAAAGGTTCGACCAATGTTAGAGGTACTGAATGGTTTTTCATTTGAGAAATGATTATTCTCCTTCTCATGGGAACTTAAATATTTTTTAAATGAACATAGATTGAGTAAATCATGCACAATGAAGACACGTATTCTAGGTATAATGGCATATGACATAGAATTTCTCAAACTGCTAGTCAGTTTATTTTGCGTATTTCTGCTCAGGTTTTCCTTAATCCTGTTAATACTAACTTGTTACGTAAGTGTTTTGTTAGTAGTTTTTGATTTTTTTTTCTTATCGGACTGTAGCTATTTTTGTGCATAATATGTTCTAAGCATAGAATAAAATACACAAAAAATAATAGCCATGACTTCAAAAAAAAAAGATAAATCTCGGTTGATCTCTACATAGATATCTTCGATGCGAAACAAGCGTGCTGTTTTTATCGATCGATGATTCATCGTTGGAGCGCACATTGTTTCTTTTTTCGTTGATTGCAGTTTGAAATAGTTAGATAATGAGATAAATAGTCATTTTAACTATCAGGAATAATGTAAATCGTATCAATCAAAAGCACAATAGTAATACTTTGTTAGATAAAGAATGAGAAAGAAAAAGAGCCATGTGACAATGCAGAACGTTTTTTTTTCACATGTATGGAGTATTGATTATATGAAATAGCAAAAGTATATTGAACGCTTTTTATTTCAGCCTTCACTTTATATATTCTAAACTTTATTCCTCGTTGTTGCATGAAAAGAAGTACTATGAACTATTCTATGATGATATATAAGATTCAGATATTTCCTTTTCAACAATTGATTTTGGAGACTAAAAAAAACAATATTTGAAAAAAAAAGGTACTTCAATAATTAACAAATGCCACAGAAGAAAACACGATCCACAGCACTTCTGTTTGAGTTTCTAGATGTCTCACTGCACAACTTTGAATATGCCTAAATGAGGGTCAGTGTATACAATGCAGTCAGAATTTTTTTTTAAATTTCAAAATAAAGATGAAAATATATAGAACGTTCATTTGTTTATTGCAAACTTTCAACACAAACATATCTCATCATCAGGAAATCATGACAATTTTTACAAAATTTCGCGAATATATTAATATTTCATGATTCATCAAGTTTTTTTTTGAAAATCTTTGACTAATCATAATTTAAAAGTTTATTCAAAGTCCAAGGTCCGAATCTTTTTCGGAAAACTGTTTCCTTGATTTCACGTTTTCATTCATTGAAATCATATGACTGTATATTTGCTTCATCGAAGTTGAAACTGTGATGCATTTTCCATAATGTTCTATCATAGTTGATAATTGCCCATTGCTTGATTTATATTTTTCTTTATATTGCTCTATTCTTACATCGATGTCTTTTCCTGTTTGTTCTACATATATTTTCTTGCAATGTTTTCATTCAATACAATAAATATAACCAATTGTTTTGTGCATTTTTGTCTTACATTTTTCTTTAAATTGTTGCTCTACTATTTTGTTTCTTGAAAATGCTTATGGTATTAATTTTGGTGGAACGAATAATTCTCATTAGTTTTGTACTAAAGTTGAATGATTCATATCCAGTATGACTTAAAATTAAAGTAATTTTATCCTCTTTATCGTCTAATATTGAATTAGTATCATTGTTGCCATGATCGTTTTGTTTTTGTTTTTGTTTTTGTTTACATAAAACATTTTTTATCTTACATTCTATGATCTGTTTCAGATATCATGATGATTTAGTACATTTTTTATGTGCTGTAATTTTTTGTTTGAAATTTTATCTGATGAGCAAATATGAGATGCACGAGTGCCTGATAAAGATATAAAGCCTAATTTTTGATATTCAAATAATTATAAATTCCATTTTAGATATAAATTGGTATTTACCTCCTTTCTATCTAATGCTGTTTCTAATTGATTTCGTGTTCTTTTAATATTTATATGTAAAAAAAAATGCAATTATCTTGTTGAACTTCTATAGTAAATTTTATATTATTATGTACATTGTTAATATCTTTCAAGATCTTTAATGTTTCATCTCTATTCCCTTCAACTAATGCAAAAAACAGTCTCACCATATCTTGTCCCTTTATTAACTTTGTTCTTTGTTAATGGCTCTATTTTTTCTTTCTCTTAATGATCCATGAACAGCAGATTCATCATTATTAACTGAACAAAATTCACTTTGATCATCTAAAAGTTCTTTAATCTTGTTCATGTAATCAGTTTTGTCCATAATAACTATGACGTTTCCTTTATCTGCTTTTAAAATAACACTTGATCGATCTTCTTTTAATTGTTTAAGAGCATGAGTTTCATGACTACTTAAATTAGATATAAATATATATATATATATATTTATATTCGTGGGTGGCTGTGTTAATGTCTTCTATCATTTTCATCAAATCAATCTTCTTTTCATCAACTTGTTTTTTCAATAAATAAATATTATATTCAATTTTCAGTTTGTGCGTTTAATGGATTCATTATGTTTCCTTCTACACAAAACTTCCATCCTTTACTCAAGAGTATCATTTGTGCTGTTGTAAGTTGTTTACTTGATAACTTATATACTAGTTTATTTATATTTGATAACAATGATTGAGTATGATCACCTACTGCTCCCAATAATTAAGATAATTTTGAGTCGTGAGCTTTTTTAATACGTTCTCTTTCATTTCTATCCCCAATAAAAAGATTAATTGTTTAATTTTATACAATGATGTATTTCAAATATATCAAAAAGACTTCTTTTGTTTTGATCAAATTTATTTCTTAATTTTTTGTTGCACGAAATATTCAGAAAAAAGTAATTGCCTTTGAACATTGTTTTTGCTTTTATTGATCTTATATGATTTTTATTAGATAATTTGAATCTAACGAACTTTAGTGTTCAACCATTAATTAGAAACATGCTCACAAATTCAATATCACGTTGGGCTTTAATAAGTTTCTTTTTTGTAATTCTCTCCATTTGTCTAAATCATTTAAAATCACAATCTTCCTGTCTTGCTAATGCAATGAATTGTATTAAAATTATGTTTAGAACTTTTAATAAATTTAAAAGTGAAGTTGAAAATTCAGTTGAAATTGTTTGACTAATCATAATTTTAAAGATTGATTTGCAAGATAATGTTATAGAATGAATATAAAAAATGAACTTGTTACATATTCCCATCTTCACTTTTAAAATTACAAAAATATCTAAGCGGAATTCTAATTGAGTCAGCATCTTTAGTGGCATTGTCACTTCAATTCAGAGCTACATAATTATCATCGATTCTTGGTAATAGAATGTGTGACCTTTGTGAAGGTTATTGACTAGAAAACACAATCAACTTTCAAAAAAAAATATTTTAATGCATATGTACACTCGAAAACTGGAAAAAGTTAAATAGGATATTATTCTTTTCTTTGCTTTATTTTTTTTTGTTCTATCAAATATCACAAAGATGAGTTATTTTTAAATAAATATATAATAAAACAAAATAATAAGCAAACAAAAAATTTAATGTGTATACGAATATTGTTGACTCTACTACCTGTACAATGATGCAAAAAATTTATATGTAGTAATACAAGAGAAAGAGAAAAAACGAAACAATTGAAAAGCAAATATATTTTTTATCCTTGGGACAGCGTAGATTGTGTATACTGTATTAATGACGTTGATGTGAAATGATTCATCAATGGTATGGTTCTTGCTAATCAGTTTGGTCAGACTGATGCGAAGCTAGATAAAATGACATAAAAGACGTGGAAAAAATGTGTACAATATAAAATGTGATGTTTATATAAAAGAGCATTCTACATTAGTCCTTTTATTAACATCATGCTCAATGATTTATGTATATATAATGAATAAAATATTTTCATTGATTTCTTTTCAGTGATGATTCGTGTGACAAATACACAACTGGATGGCATCCACAATAACCATCGGAAAAGTATTATTAAAGCAGAAATGGTCCAACAGTAAATGTTGCTGTGTGGTTGTTTATAATTTGGCTGTCGTGTTCTTACTATACATTTCATTTTGATTATCAGCATCACGAACACTTTGAATATATCTAAAGATGAAATTAAAATATGATAGAACTAAGCAATTAATTCAATGAAGTCCAAATGGATATTTGATTAAAATTAAATCTTGAAATATTCATTCTTCAAAATAAGTAGGAAATTAGTAAGCATCATACAATAACCAGGTTCAACTGCCTCTTTGTGACTTATATTTTAGATAGGTTGTGTTCAAATGTCTAAAAAATTTGCATAAATAAGTATATGGCTATAACTGGTTCATATTTATGAAGAGCTTCGTCGTTTACTAATGACCTAATCATAGTCATAAATACGTATGGTATGAATTTACCAACGTTGATGCAATTTTTTGGGACATTTGGTATTGTTCATCATTTACTCAAACTAGTCAAAAATTGATGTCCTATTTAAATATAAGTAAAAAGGAGACAGAATGATTTTTTATTGTTATCGAAAGATTATACAACCGCTCATAGAACTCATTCTATAGTGCTCATTTTTCTATACTTTCTTTCTGACTGATCTTTCTCGCCATTTGTCATGTTTTCTTTTTGTTCTTCTCCTCTTTGTTGATGCTGTTGTTGTTATTATTATGAACTTTTTTCTTCTGAACTGTTTTTCATCTTTTATCATTATAGAAATATTTTTAGTTGTGAACTAAGATTGTTTTATTCTCTTTCAAAGAAAATATCACAACGATTAAATTAACGAAATGTATTTCCTGATCACCAAGCTACATTAAAAGTTATTCGATAATTATTATGCCTGTAATATGCGTTTAGTATTAAAATAGTTAATAGAAATTAACAACAATACAAGTGAATGCTTAGTGAAAGAATTTGACTTATTTATCAATAAAGTAATCGATTATGGTAGCTCTTATTTCGATGATAGCAGTGAGTTATTTGAAAAGTTTTGAATTTTTCATAATCAATCATTTCAATTGCTTACTTAAGAGAATATTTAGATGATGATGATGATGTATTTCAAATAGACGATTTAGATAAGAATCAATTACAAAATGAATTGTGCTATATTAAATGTTTATATGATAATTTAAAACAATAATATCCAATTAAGTGATGAAGCCAGTTCATATAATCTAGAGTAAAATAGACTATTTTCCTGCATCAATAAAAATGACTCATCAACGTGTTGTATATGATGATAGCAATATTAAAGAAGAAATTATTTCGTTGTCAAAGAAAGAAGATGATGATACCATAAGGTCTGATCAATTATGGTCATTTTTGTTAAATCATATCAAACAGTTTGGAATTGTCGATCTCGTACCGATTCAATAAAAATTGAATCATTCAAAAGAGCATAAAAAGATGAGCAAAACGTACTCATTTACTCCTATCTCTTTCTCTTTGAATGACCTCTTTTTTTTCTTATTTTTTATCGTTCTGTTTGACACGTATACGAATGTATACTTTTGTATGCACGTAGAGCAGAACGATTACAACGAAATAAAACAAAAAGGTGGTTCAGAGAGGTGTAGAGAAAGAGAACGAAAAATTCTTGCTGTTTCTGCTAGAAATTCTATCTT